GCGTCCCCGGGCGCTTCCGTCTCCCTGCCCGTGGCCCAGTCTGTGGCCGTGGGGCCGATCGGCTCGTCGGTCCCCATGGCCTATTACCCCGTGGGGCCGGTTTATCCTCCGGGCTCGACGGTCCTCGTTGAAGGTGGCTTTGATGCTGGAGCAAGGTTTGGGGCTGGAGGAACCCCCAGCATCCCTGTAAGTATCAGTGCACCCTCCAAACCCGACCTGCTTCCGCGCTAGAGGCCCGCGGGCGGTCGTGGGGGGAGGCGGTTGCTGAGAAAAGCGCGTTCCTTACCCGGTCCGTCGTTCGGGAGAAGAGTGGGCTCCTGCTTTCGTGCCGAGGTTTGCCATCTCTGGCCAGCCTGCGGCTCTGGAGCCACGCAGGAGGTTCTGGCTCATAGCAGAACCATGGCGTGGCCAGCGCTAGCCGCGCTTTGGCCCGGTGGGGGCCATGCTGTAATGCGCTTTGGGGAGGGGCAAGTTAGGGGGGCTGCTTGGCCACCTGACTTTCCCTGGCCCCGTGCGCAGACTTGGCCTCTTCCCATGCTACGGTGGAGCTGGGGGAGGCTCCTGCTTGCCCGGGCTTTCCAGCTGTGGCTCGTGGCCACGTGGAGGTCGCGGTCCCCAGCTCGCCGGCTCCTCTGCGTGGGCAAAAAGCCCGGCTCAGCCGCATGGGCTCTGAAAAGAGAGGGCAGGGACGAGGAACCGAGCGTTCCCCATCAGCTCCGGGACTCTCGCTCGATCTTTGCTGGGTAGCAAGCGGCGTGGCCATCGGTTGGGAGGGTTCTGGGTCCCTGCCACCCCTGGTGGCTTTGTGCCAGCTCCCGTGGTGGCACCGACCTCAGCTCCCCTCCCACCTCTCCTCTTCTCTGCCTTCCAGCCCCCCCCTCCCGGCTGTCCCCCCAACGCCGCCCAGCTGGCCGTCATGCAGGGAGCCAACGTCTTGGTGACGCAACGGAAGGGAAACTTCTTCCTGGGAGGCTCAGACGGCGGCTACACTATCTGGTGAAGGAGGAGGAGGCGGGGAGGGGG